ACGGTGCCTATCCGTTCCCGTAGTTGGCGATCAACATGGCTATCCTAACTTTGCTTGCTGCTATTCTGAATAGTCCGGTTGTCGATGTATTAAACCACTTTCTCAGGTTTCGAAGCCAAGATATTCTTCTTCTCCCTGGTCCTCTCTTTCCCTGAAGAATGAGTTGCAACAAGCCGTATCTCTGTTCATTCCTCATAACATGGCCAAGATATTCTAGTTTGCGCTCTTTGATGGTGTTAATAATCTCGCATTCCTTGCCTATTCTACGTAGGACCTCAACATTAGTATTGTTCTGAAGCTATTTTCTTGTGGCATTGTAAATTAATTACTATTAAACTGGGAATAAGCCACAATTAAAGATAAAAATACGTTTATTGACGTTTCAATTTTTCACTTCGGAAATCATTCTCAAAATACAAACAGTAAATTAAACAAATTTTGTTTTTTGTTACATAGTGAAAAATTCTTCTAATAATTTAATTTTATCTGACTCATTTATATTGACAATTTAGACATACATTATGCATTTTAAAGTAGACGACCTTAAAATGATATTGCCAATATTGTTAAGTTGCGCTCCTGGGACGACTTTACTTATAAGATAGTTCATTCGATTACATGAAATCAACTTTAACTTGGGAATATCCGTCAGAAAAAAATCATAGCATGTAATTCGTCTTTAAAAAGACAAACACATGACATGATGACAGTAAAATTCTCCTGTTAGTGATTCCATAGTAAATTATGAGGGAAAAACCAGGAAAAAAACCTCATAATACTATCCCGACATTGTAAGTATTTGTTCGTGAATTTAGTTTACCTTCAACAAACATCAAAATTCTGATTTTATATGTTACGTTATTTAAAAAACATAAATGATGTATCCTCTATATGTTACTGACTTACTAATACTGGTATTTTCTTATTCATAACTTCCTCTTTCAATATTGGTAACCAGATCCTACTACATTCTGCCGAGGAATTTGTGACACAATTGGCCTCATTTAGCATAATTAGAGCCGCTAGAGAAGAAGAAGAAGCATAGGCCGACGACGTGTATCCTGGCTAAACAATTTGAGGCAGTGGTACAATTGTAACTCTGTTGAGCTGTTTAGAGCAGCAGTGTCAAAGGTGAAGATAGCCGTGATGATAGCCAACCTTCTTAAAGGAGACGGCACTTAAAGAAGAAGAAGAGCCGCTTCTTTGATTTTTCTTTTTTTACCATCCGTTTCTTTTAGGACTACATTTGAATTATTCCATTGAACCCTATGTTCATTATCCCATGCGTGTTTACAGATTTGAGATCTATCAAATTCTTTATTTTTAATATAAGACTGATGTTCACTTATTCTAACATTTAATGGCCTTGATGGTTCACCTAAATAAAACTGATCGCATTCACAAGGTATTTTATAAATGCAATTCTTTGTCCTTTCTTGTTCATTGTTAGGTTTGGTTTTGGACAAAATAGATCTCAACGTGTTTGTTGTTTTGAATGTTGTTGAAATGTTGAATTTATTTCCTATCCTTTTAAGTTTTTCTGATAGTCCTTTTATGTACGGTATTGATATTTTCCTCATATTATTCCTTGTGTATGCTGTAGGATCTCGTTCTAAGTTGTTCTGTTCTATTCGATCGATTTTTGAAAATTCCTTATTTATAAACGATAAAGGATAATCATTTTTTAATAAAACAGATGTTAACAATTGTTTCTCCTCCAAGAACGAATTTTCGTTAGAACAAGTAATTTTGGCTCTATCGTATAAGGATTTAATTATTCCCCTTTTTACATTAATATTATGATTTGATGTGAAATTTAAATATCTATTGGTGTGTGTTAGTTTTCTATACACCTTAGTCTCATATCCAGTATCGTTTTTAGAGAATAAAACATCCAGGAAAGGTAGCGTGTTATTACATTCCTTTTCCATGGTAAATGTTATTGTCTCTTCTTTATCGTTTATATCATTTAGGAATGTGTCCAACAACTCTGATCCATGAGGCTATATTCAGAATACATCATCTACATACCTCCACCATACTGTGGGTTTGAAATTTTGTTTAGAAATGATATTTGTTTCAAAATCTTCCATAAATATATCGGCTAAGAATGGAGATAAACTAGAGCCCATTGCTAGACCAAAATTTTGTTTATACAATTCATTATTTAGTTGAAAATATGTATTATCAGTACATAATGTTAATAACTCCATTATAGCCGATATGTTTAGTCTTATTCTAGTTGCCAATAAATCATCACTCTCTAATTTTGTCTTGACTATACTTAAAGTCTTATTTAATGGCACATTCGTAAATAAACTATTTATGTCAAAACTTACCAAAGTATGATTTGAATTAATTATAAACAATTGAAAAACGTACTTACTTTCAGGTTCAATTTGCAATAACCTTTTTGTTTATAAATCTTTTTTAATTGGGAAAATCTCATTTTAAAGTAATTTTAAGAAAGTCGTCTGCTAAAAATTTTTATCTACATATACTAAAACTGGAACGATACGGAGAAGATTAGCATGGCCCTGCGCAAGGATAACAAGAAAATCGTAAAGCGTTCTACATTTTTAGGTAACTACAATAGGTCAGGGTGATTGAAATAAGAAAGGATTAAATTCGCAGAACTGGACAACCACCCTAGTCACATACTGCTAGAGATCATGAGATATGTTGCTTTTCATCATTGGAAACACAAAAGGCCTAAACAACAAATAGTGGAATTAATAAAGAAACCAAATAAAGGCGAAGTCAAATAAAATAAATAGCAGTGAGCTACAACATTATAAATACGGCAGAGATAACAAACAAACAACATCACTAGAGAAAAAAACATAAACCCCAGTGAGGAAAATAAACAAACCAACAGAGGACAGTCCGTAGCTTTAAAAATTCGATAAACTGCAAATCGCTTAACTTTGTGAGCCCCAAGGGAATAGGATCAAAATAACACCAATAGGACGTTCACATAGATATCCTACGAAAAAAAATTAACAAAAAAATATAAGAAACGGCCTAGTCAACCAAATTTTTTTTAAAACTAGCAAAAACCCGACGAAAGCTTACCAAAAAAATTAATAAAAAACAAAAAAAAAAACCAGGCAAGCAGGGCTTGAACACTTGCGCACCAAGTCTCCCAAACTGGAGGTAGTCTGGAGCGGAGACTTGGGGTCAAAGCAAGCAGCTTTAGATTCGCGGATAAGTCACTAGAGGATTACAGGAACAAAACATGCTATCCAAAATTTAAATCGGTTATTGAGCCATGTTGGAGTTCTATTACCCAAGACAATCATATAAAGATCATTTGTTCATATTCACATTAAGATCAGAATGTTATAGGGGGAAAGGGATGATCTGGAGCATTGAAGCGCGGTGGAGTGACTCCTGTTTTTAACTAAGTTAATACATCTCGCTCCAATGAATTGTTACACCTGAACGTAATTCTTACGGGTGAGCATGTTTTACAGATTGAGTTTAATTAAATTGCTTGCTTTTTTGCTTCTAGTCGGAGGTCCTTTTATTTTTTTTATTCAGATTTGGAAATTATTCTACATTATAATGTTGGAAATAAAAAAAAGTAATTCTTTTAAAATTTAGCTTATCTTCTCCTTTATCTATTTAACGGCTTTATTTAAGTACATGTGGAGCTTTTCTTCTTCTTCTTACAGTGCCCAGTTGTTTTAAATGTTAACAGACATATTGTTCTGAAGCTATTTTCTTGTGGCATTGTAAATTAATTACTATTTAACTGGGAATAAGCCCCAATTAAAGATAAAAATACGTTTATTGACGTTTCAATTTCCACTTCGGCAATCGTTCTCAAAATAATTAAATAATTAAATAAAATCGTTCCCAGTTAAATAGTAATAAAGTTAACAGTCATCTTAGTAATTTTTAATTTTTAATTTTTGAGCACCAAATGAGCACCAGAGAAACGGAACAGTAGTTCTTGAGTCTACTATTCCAACTATTTGAAGATTGAATGAAATTATCAGTTCCAGTTTAATTACAGGAATAAAGAAAGAGACTATATTCCACATCTGAAGACGATAAGAAGTCATTATAAGTATATATATATATATATATATATATATATATATATATATATATATATATATATATATATAAGTTTTATACAAGTCTTCAATTAATATTAGAAAAATAAAAATCAGGATGGAGAAGCTTCATTAATTATTGAAAGATGACAAAAGTGATGAAGAAATACGAGGTAATTTAAAATAAAAGCTATAAAAAATAGACTCATTATGAAAGGAACTAACCCTAGAGAATTAACAGGATTCGGCCGCTAGATGAAGGGGATTTATAAAAATTAACGTCGGTTACATTGTCTGACGTGTAGACTTTTAGTGATACGATATTATTTACAACAATATTTGCGACAATAGCTCAGTACATTTTTGCTACTTGCAAATAGGGATATATTCTATTTTGTATTTTTAAGTGGGTTGTGGATTATGATGTATAAGGTTAAAACCTATGGAAGTACAGTGGCTTTCGGGAGAGATTTAGATGTGTATTTTGTGGTCTGTTCGCGTGGTGAAAGTCAAATTCTTGTGCCATGTGTGGATTTTGAGCTCATTTGGAGAGCTTTAGAGCAGTTAGCTATTGGTATTTTATTAAACAAGTTAGTGGATTTTTCGGGTGAAAAACCCTGACCATGACCATACATAAAAATTGCGTGGTTTTAAAAACAGTAAATGAAAAGTTTAGATACTGGGGACTACTATGGGATGCTAAAAAAGCAACTGCGCCATTTACATCAGAAATATTTTAATTTCTAATTTAACTGAGGCGTCACTGTGCTTAAGGGTCAATCTAAGGACACTTGCGCGACCTGAAAACTCTAACACTATATCTGAGCCAAAAGATGGTAGATGGTTTAAAAAATAACTTGTTTTTGGACAACTTTTAATTGTATTTTTAAAAGCATAAATAAATTATATACAAGATGTACGACTTTCTTTTTACTATTACCATGAGTTATGTGAGAGAACTGGAGCATGAGCAGCATAACCATGATGACCATAGGTCAAAGGAGCAGCGTAACCATGAGCAACTGAACCAGAGTACCCATGAACAGCTGGTGCAGCATATGCGGCATGGACAACTGGAGCAGAATAAGCGGCATGAGCAACTGGAGCAGCATAAGCGGTATGAACTGCTGGAGCAGAGTAAGCGGCATGAGCGACTGGAGAAGCATAAGCTACTGGAGCTGCGATTTTGGCAACAACTGGAGCAACAGCATGTACGGCAGGTTCTTTGTGTACAACAGCGTTAAATCCATTATGCGAATCAGCAGTGTAATCGACGGTACGTTTGGTTCCGTCGGATTCCAAAAGTGAGTAACTTCCATGAACAACATCGCCGCGACGAGATTCGTGTTGGCTCTTGGCATCTCCGGTGTGGGGGTCACTTACACCATATGAAAAATCGTAGTGAGCAGGTGCAGAGGGTTCAGCAATGACAGTTTTGACTACTGGAGCAGCATGAACATGAGCAACTGGTGTAGCGTAAGCGTGAGCGACTGGAGTCTGAACCAAAGGAGCTGCGTAGGAATGGGCAACTGGAGCATGAACGAGAGGAGCGTGAGCAGCATAGGAGTGTACGGCTGGAGCATGGTGTTGCACAGTGGAGTAGGTGGAGATGGCATCGTGGGATCCATGGGCAACTAGAGCTGGTGCGGCGTAGCCATGACCTGGGTTCCAAGATCCAGCATGAGCTACTGCAGCGAATGCAGCGAGAACTAAAAACTAGAAGATAAAGTTTATATAATATTGGTTGTTAAATTTAACAAAAATTAATTATTAGCTTAGATTGGAGAAGAAATACTACAAAATTAGAAAAAGTTATTCGTAGTATATAAATATGTGGTTAAATTTATTATACTAAAAATTTCTTTAAATCTTCCTTTGCAAAAAAGTATACTTAATAAACAGAAAATTTTTAATATGTGGCAACATACTTTTAAGTGCTTTTTTAAAATTCAATAAATTCATGTAGATGTGTCTAAAAATTCGTTAAAAATAATTAGAAATAGTATAAATACTGTTTTTGTTTAGATAATAGTGTGGACTATAATGGAGTTTTCAAACTATTTAGAAAAGATAAACAAACAAATAGAAAAAGATAAGATGTCTATAGGTTAGTTGATGTATCAATGAATACAAACACAGAATACATTAGGTGGGGTATTCTGCGATTTAAAACTAAAGTAAATGACGTCTTGGTAAATAATTACTACTGTTTTTATTAACATTAACTTAAACTTGGATAAATAGAATTCAATCCTGCATAAATATTATAAGAACTGAGGATCGATGTCCAATTTTAGATTCGCGATTTATTTGATTACAACCTAATGTATTCACTAGACACTATCGCACAAAACAAAAGCACTAGTAATTCACTTACTTTGGTTGCCATCTTGTTTGTTAGTTCGTAAACTTTAGAATATATTTTTGTAATCAGTTGTTTCTTATTTATATGATTTTTGTTGCGTTTATAAGGTGGTCCCACCCCGGAATAGAATTTGCAACCTTTCACAAATTAAACTAACAAATATCAACATCCTGCAAGGTTCTTGAAGGTCAATTTTTGCCAGTATGTTTTACTTTAGAAGATAACGGTCTATTAAGAGGTGATATTTTTTCAAATATTTTTGTTTATAATATAAAATTGCTTACAGATTGTGTATATTACCGAAAAGATACAAATACAATAAATGGATGTGATTTTATAAATTTGCTCTCCTGATCATTGTTTATTCAATGACATGGTTTAACGCAAAAAAATAATTTCTTCAACCAACATTTCCTTGAAAATATAAAATTTATTTTTATTTGATAGATCTACCTCCAAGTGCGAGGCTGTTTTCAAAATACAATTTTTAGATGTACTAAGTAGGTATTTACGACTAACCTCCTTTGAAATAAAAAACTTGTTCTTTACAAAATTCTTTTATTGATGTATTTTTAAAAGTCGATGTAGTCTACTTTTAGTTCAATACATTTTTTCAACGTTTTTAACGATTCCAGCAATTTTCCAACTTGTTTATACCATCCAAATATCACGATATTGAAAGCTCTGCAAACTAAGTGTTTATTTCGCCAATTATCTGTTAGTTCGAACAATTTTTTTTATTTACGACCCATCTCTTTATGTTTGATCACCCAATAATAAGAGGAGGCCAAATCAGGAGAATAAGCTAAATGAGAAATCAATTTTTGTCAATATTATTAGTCTTGTGAGATCGTGTATTGTCTTTGAGAAAAAACACTTTTTTCTTTTTTTTTTCTATTTTGTGTTAATTCATTTAGACACTGTACGTTACATTTTCTTCTAATGTCTTCACTTCTCCTTTGATCTCTCAACGTATTTCCTGTAATTCTTCTAACTACTCTCATCTCTTATGTTTCCAGTGGCCTTTTCGTTGTGGCTGTATCAGGGTTTTTTCTGAGGTATATGTCATGATTGGTCTTACACTGTATTCATAAATTCTTGACTTCAACTTAGTGGTAATGTGTCTATTTCGCCATATAGTGTTATTAAGGTATCCTACCAAACTATTTTCTTTTTGTACTTGATCTCTTACTTCTTTGTCTAGGTCTCCATAGCTTGGAAGTATAATTCCAAGGTATTTTATTTCCATTACTTATTCAATACTGATGTGATCAATTTCTATTTTACATCTGGATGGTTCTTTGCTGATTACTATTATTTTAGATGTCTAAGACGAGATTGCCATATTAAATTCTTTTGCTCTTATGTATAATCTGTGGACCAGTGATGGCAGACTATCTTTATCTTGGGCTATCAATATTGCGTCATCTGTGTAACAGGGTATATTTATTTCTTTTGTTTTCCATTCTGTATTCTTTTTTGATGATGATTTTATAGATGATTATATTAAAGAGCATAGGGCTCAATGAGTCCACCTGTCTTATTTCGCTGCCTATTTCCATAGGTTCTGTAAGTTGTCCATCTATTCTGACTTTTATTTTGTTGTTTTGGTAGATGTTTTTGATAGTTTTTATAATATTTATCTGCTAATCCTGTCTTTACCTGCTGATTTTCTTGATTCCTCAAAAACAAAAGGGTGTTTATCGCTACGTGTTTTGTAACAATAAACCCAATTACACTGTATACACCGTCAACTGTTTTATCTTGTATCACACCCAAAACATTTCGAGCATCTCCTTTGGTTCTATCAAAGTTGGGAATAGGTATGGTTACAGTTTTTTCAATTACAATTGGCGGAAATTTTTTTTAGTTAATGGTTGTATAGCGATCAATCGTCTTTTTTGTATTTATTTTTATATTTTCTGTGCACACCACAGCTTGAAACTTTACTTTCGAAGTCTTCATAGTACGCATCAAGTGTACTGCCAGCGCACAAAACATGTACAACCTGATTACAAATTATGCTCTTATGAACGCCAGAGCTCACTTTTTGGCAAATACAATAAACCACATCTGAAGAAGTAATCTCAATTGTTGCACAATTTTCTTCCCCTCTTAGTGACGAGAGTCCAATAGCTTTTCTTATTCGTAGTTGACGATGATGGTGCAGGTATTCCCATTTAATATCTTTAAGCTAAAATGAAATTCATATACTTGCTAATAATAATTGAAGAGCTTAGTTCCAAAGTGTCCTGAATCCAACATTTCGATTTTTCAATATTTTTGTTTTATCAAATATGTTATAGATTTCTTTCGGCCTAGAATAAAATATTATGCACCAAAACGACTTTTTTCACAATTCGAAACTGCATTTTATAATTACATTTATTTTGAAAACGTTTCGTCTCATCTATGAGCGCATAGAAGTCACGTGACTTGATGGGTGGATAATAGGTGGATAACGGGTAACTTCTAAATTTTAAAGAACCACTGGGATTGGCATGAAATTTGGCATACACATATAGCTAACGTGTCAAAGAAAAAAGTGATATTGTGCGATGTATATTTTTGCCCTGGGGGTGGTAACCGCCACCTTTCAATTTCTCGGGTGAAAGATATACACCAAATAATCCGAAGTGGATAAACTGACTAATTCTAGACAACTTTTGTCTATAGAGGTTTTTAACTAAAATCAATACTTTTCGATTATTGCGAGTGAATAGTATTACATTTTTCACAAAAACACCAACCACGTTTCTGACGATTTCTCGCAAAAACTCATAAATGTAAATTATGAAAAAATTTCGTAGCAAAAACAGATTATAAAGTGGAAAACAATGGGAATAATGTATAAATCTGTATACTCAGCATAAGCAAATTATAGCAAATGAGAAATAGATTCTAACCTACTATTCAAATTCATATCGATATTTAAACGTGAAATAATCAAAAAATTGTTATTTACTTTTTTTAAGTTGTTTAAAAAATCCTTTATTTTTGATTTTTAAAAGAGTTTCTAGCATCAAATGTACAAGTGCAACTACACTCAAAACAAAGGTTGATCCCTTTTTTTTGGTAAAAAATAATCATGAAATGACTGTAAGTCTAACGGTTTAAAGAGCTTATTTTTTGAAAGATACTTACATGAAACTGTCTCCAGTCGAATTGTCCCTCTTAGGTTATAGAGATCACATTTACTACGATACACAGAGCATATTTTGACAAGTTGTGAAGTTTTTGTAGAAATATTCAAACAATTAAACTACTATCACTATCCCGTGTGTCCAGAACTTGGAGGTCGTCGTTTGTGTTTATAACTACCGTTCAATTGTGGGTAAAGTAGGATATTCTTTTTCTTTTACTTGAACATGCGCCTACAACAATTTTTTCGCGAATGTAGTTTTGTTAATCTTCGATCACTGTTCTTATATTTTGGAATCAATCCCACAACAACAACAACAACAAATTTCAATTGGGTTGAAAACACAATGATATATAGGGAGCCGTAAAACCGTATGCCCGTGGCGTTCAAAGATTTTATCTATTACCTATTCTTTTTTTGAAAATTTACTGTTGCTTAATTAATTGCAACAAATCTTTTTTTGGTACATTAACTAGGTGTTGCCATGCCTTTGTTCTCCATAAATTCTATGATGTCTCCCTTCTTGGAGCTAGTATTTGGAATTTTGGTGTAGAGTCTAGAATGGTACGACGCATTGTCAACAACGCAAGCCACAGCTGCAAAGTTAGTGATCAATTACAAATAATGTTTATATTTCTGAATTATTCGGGACTGGACCCGAAAAATTCCTTAACTTTTATTGAAATTTAAAATTGATGATTATAAGTACTACACACATAATGCAAATGAAATGAATGTGCTTATTAATGTGAGTCATAAAAAATGAGACTACAATTTTACTATAAAAATAAAATAAATTATAAGTTTATCACGACGACAGTGTTAATGTGCTTATTATATGCTTGCCGCTTTGAAACATGAGAAGCCATTTTTTTGGCCAGATAACGGCATACCAGATTTGGTTTCAGTGTATGAACTCTCCGAAAATTTAACCAATTACATTTCATTATTACCCAATAAGGTACATTAAAATAATAAGCGCCACTCAATATCCATCGGACTAATACCATGATAATTGTCCCTTGGCTGAATATCGACCCTAAAGCGGAGAGCCAAGATACCGGTCCAACGCATAAGGAGTGCAGAAGGCAAGGGAAACCACTAGCATTAAAGGTTCAAAAGAACATTCCTTAGTAAAGTCAACATGGCTAGTAAAGACCTACTCAAAAATGTTACTGATCATTGAATACGGATTCCCAAGATCCGCAGGAGAGGCAACGCAAGACTATGGTATGCCATCTCCGGTCGCAACATGCAAAATCCCTGTACAAACATAACAAGTTCGAACAAAAACTAGACTAGGTATTAGAGATGGGACATGGAATGTTAGAAGTCTGTTATGGCTGGAAAACTAACTCTGCCATCTTAGAAATCGAACGTTTGAATTGTAATGTATTAGGAATTAGCGATGTGATATGGCAAGGAAACAGGTAAATGTATAACAAACACGGAATGCTATACTACTCTAAACGATGACCCATCACATTTGTATGGCCGTAGGAATTCTCGTTTGATTACAAATTAATCGAACATAATAAGCTTTAACACCAATATCAGACAGAGTCGCGATTCTGAAACTTAATTCAACAAGACTGTTTCCAATAAACATAGTACAGGTGATGCACCACAGCCGACAAAGATGAGGAAGAGAAATTGAAATATTCTATAATCAACTCAATGCCGCTCTAAAATTAAACAAAAAAATGTGAGATAACATCATCACTATGGGATTTGAAAAACGCCAAAATTGGTAAAGGGCAGTGCACCATGGATTGGTGGAGTTTTGGAATGGGCGTTAGAAAATGAACGTGGAGATAGACTCTTAGAATTTTGCCAAAATGCAGATCATGGTTATAGTAAATTACTTATTTGATCTACCTAA